AATATTAATGTCGTGAACATCATAGCAATGTTCAATATAATATTGATGTCGTGACTGTCTTAGCAATGTAGAATATAATACTGATGTCGTGAACGCCATACCAATGTTCAGTATAATATTAATGTCGTGAACGTCATATGAATGTTCAATATAATATTAATGTCGTGAACGTCATAGCAGTGTTCAATATAAAATTGATGGCGTGAACTTCATAGCAATGTTCAATATATTATTGATGTCGTGAACGTCATACAATGCTTATTATAATATTGATGTCGTGAACGTCGTAGCTATGCTCAGTATAATACTGATGTCATGACCGTCATTGCAATATTCATTATAATTTTGATGTCGTGAACGTCATAGTAATGTTCAGTATAATATTGATGTCGTGAAAGTCATAGCAATGTTCAGTATAATATTGATGTCGTGAAAGTCATAGCAATGTTCAGTATAATACTGATGTCGTGAACGTCATAGCAATGTTCAGTATAATATTGATGTCGTGAACGTCATATCAATGTTCAATATAATATTGATGTCCTGAAAGTCCTACCAATGTCCAATATAAAAATTGATGTTATGAACGTCATATCAATGTTCAATATAATATTGATGGCGTGAACGTCCTAGCAATATTCAATATAATATTGATGTCGTGAACATCATACAATGTTTAGTATAATATTTTTGTCATTAACGCCGAAGCAATGTTCAGTATAATATTGATGTCGTGAACGTCATATCAATGTTAAATATAATTTTGATGTCGTGAAAGTCATAGCAATGTTCAGCATAATATTAATGTCGTGAAAGTCATATCAATGTTCAGTATAATATTAATGTCTAGATCGTCATAGCAATGTTCAATATAAAATTGATGTCGTTAACGACATATCATTGTTCAATATAATATTAATGTCGTGAACGTCATAGCAATGTTCAATATAATATTGATGTCGTGAAAATCATACAATGTTTAGTATAATATTTATGTCGTGAACGTCATAGCAATGTTCAGTATGATATTGATGTCGTAACTGTCATAGCAATTTTCAATATAATATTGATGTCGTGAACGTCATAGCAATGTTCAGTATAATATTCATGTCGTAAACGTCATAACATTGTTCAATATAATATTGATGTCGTGATCGTCATATCAATGTTCAATATAATATTGATATCATGAACGTCATAGCAATGTTCAATATAATATTGACGTCGTGAACGTCATACAATGTTTAGTATAATATTTATGTCGTGAACGCCATACCAATGTTCAGTATAATATTGATGTCGTGAACGTCATAGCAATGTTCAATATAATATTGATGTCGTTAGCGTCTTAGCAATGTTCAATATAATATTAATGTCGTGAACATCATAGCAATTTTCAATATAATATTGATGTCGTGACTGTCTTAGCAATGTTCAATATAATACTGATGTCGTGAACGCCATAGCAATGTTCAGTATAATATTGATGTCGTGAACGTTGTTACAGCAATGTTCAATATATTATTGATATTGTGAGCGTCATCTCAATGTTCTGTATAATATTGATGTCGTGATCATTATAGCAATCTTCAGCATAATATTGATGTCGTGAAAGTCGTAGCAATATTCAATATAATATTGATATCATGAACGTCATATGAATGTTCAGTATAATATTAATGTCGTGAACGTCATAGGAATGTTCAATATAATATTGATGTCGTGAACGTTATATCAATTTTCAATATAATATTGATGTCGTGAACGTCATAGCAATGTTCAATATGATATTGATGTCGTGATCCTCTTAGCAATGTTCAATATAATATTGATGTCGTGAAGGTCATAGCAATGTTCAATATAATTTTGATGTCGTGACCCTCATAGCAATGTTCAATATTATATTGATGTCGTGACCGTCTTAGCAATGTTCAATATAATATTGATGTCGTGAACGTCATAGCAATGTTCAATATAACATTGATGTCTTGAACATCATATCAATAATCAATATAATATAAATGTCGTAAACGTGATAGAAATGTTCAATATAACATTGATGTGAACTTCATATCAATGTTCAATATAATATTAATGTCGTGAACGTGATATCAATGTTCAATATACGTTCATAGCAATGTCCAATATAATATTGATGTCGTGAACGTCATAGCAATGTTCAGTAATATGTTGCTGTCGTAAGAATCATAGTAATTTTCAGCGTTCTACTGAATTGAATGAAAATCAACCTACCATTGTTAATGTGCCAATGATGTCCAAAAAACATCCTCACATGTTTGTGCTGTTGACGAATTGTTTAAAAATACATTAGACTACCTTGTGATCTCTCCCTTAATATAGGGTACTCTATAATTTCTAATTCCATCGTGTCTGGTAAAGATTTTTGCAAACATATGACAAAACACTTACTAGCCATCTAATGTTTGTAACCGTCTTCAGTAAGAGAAGCAGACCTATATCAACAGCCCAAAAATTCCACTACTTATATTTTTATCATACCATACCTTCTGCGTTAAGTATGTTAATTACAAATTAGTTCTTGCAACTTCGCGATCCACTGATAGCTTATATTTAAAACTAGAAACCATTATCGAGAAGATTAGTTTTGTATCTTCATGTGAAATCAGTTTTCGTTAACAATAGGGATCGTCAAAAAATCAATGCAAAGGGACAAAGAATCCTAACGATGTTTGAACTGATTCCACAACAGACAACATCAACAAATATACATGTTTGTTTCAATTATTTGCGGTATAAATTCAATGTGACCGAATCGTATATTTCATATTTGATAATCTTTAAAAAAACTCATTGACTTTCCAAATGACCGACTGAATATTTAAAATTATTGGATATAAAATTCATGCATACTCTGCTAGAAAATCCAGTGATCAAATTGTGACAATCTCGACAGTATTAACAATCATAACTCTTCATTTTTAACCAAAATAAATGCTTGAAGGACTTGCAGCTAGGTCGTTTGGATCCCTAAATTTAACGTGAAATTTGATTCATAGGGCAAACTATGAATTTCCTGTATATAATACCTGGAACAACAAATTGATAGCTCACCAACAATTCATCACCATCGCGTACTTCAGGCACTTATGCCGTTTCTGTCTTGTTCTTATACTTCTGAAACAAGAATGAGATATAAAGATTTTGTTGCTACTTGACGACTAGATTGTGTCGTTTGTTAACAAGGTCAGAATAAAGAAAACGAGTAGCAAAACGAGAATCACTTTGATAAATACATTGTGGTTGCCCTCATACATTGCCTGACTAACAGGTCTATCAGCTAAATGAATAAAGTTATGTTCTACATCACTCTCAGGAATGTTCGTTCTCAAAGATCAAGCAACCACACTTAACACTTATGATTCTAGTATTTTATTTTCAGTAGGATAGGCGTTCTAATCCATGCACATTTACAACCTAATCTGGAGCTAATCCATTATCTTGCAACAATGAATGACTTTCATGGATACAAGATGACAAATGTAAACAGTAAAGAGGAATATTGATAAAGCAATGCTGAATAAAAAGAATACTTTCATTAGAAGACTCTTAAATACACGTAAAGAGACTGATGATAAACGACTCTGAGAAGTTTATTTCTACTCTTAAATTTTAATTGCTATATGATTGGCATGATCTATTATAAGTTCGGTAATCTATCTGATGTTATTGGTAATAGTCTTGATGTCTGAGAGGTGACCCGTGGACTTTAAAATTCATTAATGCTTTTATTTATGCTTCTAATACAATTTGTAAACAGGAATTAGCGTATTCAGATCTAAACGTTGTCATTCCATCATTGATTATCATTAACGATGTCATCGTCGAGATGTTGATATAGCCGACATATTTCTTCGATGCAGCGTCATCGGTTACCTAGTTGGAGATTACATTGATTGTCTAACAGCAGACATATTTTTATTTTTTATGTATCTGCTAACAATAATATATGATTGTACATAATTTAGTGCACGATGGAACAATATATCTCCATTTTCGCGACTGTGTAGCAGAAAGAATCAAAACCGACAAGTTTGAAACAATGAACTAAGAATTTATTCACTAAGTTATAAACTGAATAGTATAAAAGAAACATTCTTATGAATTAAATCCCGTACAATCGTAAAGTTTCTTTGATAACTAAAAAGATATAGAATGGACTGAAATTATTCAAAATGTCTCGAGTGTGTTCTGTACCACAATGAATACCTTTTACGACTCTTTAGTCTTAAACTAAATAAACATGAGCGTGTAACCAACAAATTGTTTTAAAATTCAACAATTACTCTATTCATCTGAATACAAAGTGAAAATGAAAAGATCTTTCAATATCGCGAATTAGATCCTAAATAGTCCAAAAGATTGTATTACTAGTCCTTTCTAATAAAGTTATTACTAAATTCCAGTAGTGTTCTTTATTTTATTAATTGCTGCATTATGGGAATAAATAAGTAATGGGGATAGAAACTATGACGGATGTTAGGTTCCCACACGGATCAAAAAGGCATATGATGGACTTTGCTACCACTCGAGATAATTGGACGAAAACGTCTTAATCAAGGATAAACCATGCAGTTTTCTAATCCACATCATTTTTGTCATGGATGCGGCATGATAAATATTGATCTATTATATCTCCCTTGATTTGTGTGTGATGATGGTTGGATAATTTAGAAGTATCATCTATCTATGTATCTTTTTCGTTTGCAATTTATAATGATGTGATGTGATTATGATTTTTAAATTAGCTTTAATAATTTTTCAGTCATGTCGCTACGATGTCTGCAGTGTGGCAGTTTATAGTGATGTCTAGCACTGAGGCATCATGCCGCAGACATGTAGCATGATGTCCCACCCAGTCACATTATCCTGTCAGCAGGCCCACCAGTCCTAACACTAACGTCTTAATGCTGAGCCTCAAGCGAGGCAGCTGTTAGTACTATTTCTGTAAGTTTTTGGTATGACTCCACCGAGGATCGAACCCACAACCTCCCGCATCCGAGGCAGTCGCTCTAACTACTAGGCCACCGGATCGGTTAATTTCTAATGACAACTTATGATATCAACTATAAAGTTGCACCCTTTGAATACCTGTTCTAAACGTCATTGATTAAGAAACTTGAATCCTGTGCCGTTGTACATTTGGAGGTTATGTAGCAATTTTAATACATGTCAATGTGCTATGGTCTTTCCCAAAGTAGCGGTGTTTATAACTATTTTATGGTAGCATGCAAGATTTGAAGTCTAATGCAGAGACGTGCTCATCTCCAAGTAAATCATGCCAAGTACATGTCGTTGGATCTATTAAGGTAGATTACCGACTCATCCTTCATAAAATGTGGAGTATAGGCACACATTATAAGCGTGCGTGTGTGTATGTGTGTGTTGAATTGTTAACGTAGCTTTAATACTTTTTCAGTTATATCTCTACATATTATGCAGTGTTATAATTGAGAGACATGTATCATCATGTCCCATCCAGTGAAAGTATCTTGACACCAAACCAACTAGTTCAAAGCCGACTTCGATAAGTATTTTGTACAGTTCTCTATTATATCTAGATATTCCTAATAGCTAAACTTGATCACAATTGTCTGTATCATACGATTGTTAATTATTTTCTGATTTTAGATTGACAATTGGATAAATTGTTCAGACAGAAAGTGTATTTAACTAAACGAAAAGCCTTTATCTTCAGTATTTAACCAAACGAAAAGCCTTTATCTTCAGCTTAATTTACCCACACGTCCACCAGTCAAGGCTATATATCAAATTATCTGACGAATGTGTATCATTCTTGCAAGTAAACATTAGGTTATGTACATGGCAGGTATATCTGTACGGTACCAAAAGAGACAAATTGATCCAATATTCAGAATGCATTAATATATACCATATCAGACGACATACTGAATATATAAAGATGATATGGTACTTCTATGTCTTTCTACCATAATTATTAACTAATGACAAAACATATAGCGATATACTTTGGCATTTATTAGTCCGATGATGAGTACCATGTAACAATATATACTACTGGATTCATAATGCTTGACATACATTATTGGTGGAGATTACAAATATCATGTATATGTAAAGGTAAGTAAACGATGTGTCCTGAACCTACACACAATTGGACATGTATTGTTTACTAACAATCAAAGCTAGAAGTCGTAAGGGTGCGTCTATTGGCATTTACTTCTTACAAATTTGTACAACTGTACTAGATTTCCCGATCGAAGCCAGATACAAAATGCAATTATCATGATGTCTGGAAATAAACATAGCAGGCCTGATAGCGATTTATGAGTTACTAGTAAATGGGTTGCTGAACCTTACAGCAAACCCTTACTTTGAAGGGTCCAATTCTATGCACAGAGAATATGAATTGCTGCAGAAACATAAATTTTCAATACATTGCATGATTCGTCTGTTCCATATTTGAGAAAAAAGCTAATAGCGATATTTATTATATGACATGATATTACATGATTTATTATATATTATCAATCCGTACTGTCATGACATAATAGACCTTTAAAAGATGTCATTACCAGTTTTGAATCAACTTAACTATAAAAAGTAGTTTATAGTGCAATTGTACAAGTAAATGTCAGTAGGTTTAAATCCTGCGGAAACTGTCATGTCTTAAAGTCCATTACCTTTCAGATGGGTGTCTGAAAATCCATTACCTTTCAGATGGGTGTCTTAAAGTCCATTACCTTTCAGATGGGTGTCTTAAAGTCCATTACCTTTCAGATGGGTGTCTGAAAGTCCATTACCTTTCAGATGCTCCTTATATCAAGTAGAACATTTGTTAATACAATTTGTTTTTGTTCACAAAGGGATTTGCATTTAAATGTAAGACACCTATGTGGAGAAAAGTTGCTGAGCTATTGTTTATAAATATTTGTGTTGTAATGATGCAAAAGCTATGAATTGACCTTCCTGTCGAAGTAAGTAGGATATTGTACCTCTGCATACTACTTGGTGCACAGTTAACCAACCTGTTAAAGCTTTCCTAAACTGAATAGGCAATTAAATCAATTTGATCTTGACTGACCAATGTGCATCACTATATTTAATGCAACTATCGACATATATTTTCAAATAATTCTTGAATACAAATAATATTAACATACGCATGAAATGGGTCTACTGAAATTATTAACTTTAGTGTCAAATATTTAAAATTACGAGCTGTATGTTAATTATGTAACATTTTGATATTTTTGTCAATTACGTCATCGTATATGATTCATAGCTGTCATATTGTATTTATATGATAAATAATTAGTCATCAGACCTTTAAACTAATATAGATTTGTCTCTAATTGCAAAGGTATATAACTTAGCAGGACTAGGATATAGTTAATGCAGCCATGTACACTCATTGGCTGATAATTTAGTTATATAGTGCACTAGATCTTACCTACGACTCCCATAAGCCAGCAATATGCTTGATGCATGCAAGCACCGACAATCACATTCCGCACAGTTTGAGACAAAAGTAGGCTAAAAGTCTCAAACCATCGAAATACCAAAACTTTGATACAGTGAAGTTTACAAATATATACCTAATGCAAGATGGAATGAAAGTTTGACTTCTATCTGGATTTCAATCACATAGTTTAATAGTCCTTTTAAGATAGACGAGTGTGCTGTAGAAGTCTCTTCATGGCATTGGGTAGGTAAATAAGATCATAATATTATTTTATGAAAAAAAAATTGGAGCATAAATATTGCTTTTTCATGTAGGTTGTAAAGTCTATACAATTTTTTTTTGTCTTGTCCTTTTATATATGGAAGCAATAAATTAATGTTATATCGTTGCATTATTTTAAAACATTTATTTAAGCAATTTTGTCAGTAAATTAACAAGGCAAATTAATTTATGTTATTAGGAAACTTGTAAACATATCAAGATAAAAACTATTTGATCTGCATATTTTCATTTCCACGTTGCTTAGTGAGGTACTTATTTTGATAATAAGTTTTTCAAGTTAAGCTCTGTACAATATCCGAAATTCAATCAATAACACTTTCTTTATAATTATTTCCCTTACAACTAATATAACTCTATAACTATTATTTTCGTTTACATTTACTAGCTCTATCAATAAATCCTCGACAGTCAAATCTAAACTATAGTTTTCGTCCATTTCTACATTGGTTCCCATTTTTTAAAAAATAGATAAAAGTAAAATGTGGCAAAATGGGAATCGCTGGAGAGGATTGGTTGATAATAAAAGTAAGATTTTGTTTAAAATATATATTTTAAGAATTTTTCTCCTTTAAGGACCTGAGTTTACAAAATGCATAAGGAACGATTCGAAGAGGTTTTATCTATTTTTTTTTTAATTAATGCGCTGCTGCAAGTGAAAAGGTTGGGAACATAACCTCATATATATGTATATATATATATATATATATATATATATATATATATATATATATATATATATATATATATATATATATATATATATATATATATATATATATATATATATATATATATATATATATATATATATATATATATTTTTATATATATATTGTATATTCTATATATATTCTATATATATATATATATATATATATATATATATATATATATATATATATATATATATATATAAATATATATATATATATATATATATATAGAATACAAATATTATAGCGAATACCAACCCTTTCAAGCGTACTGGATCCACCAAGAGATCACCTGTGTCAGGGATTGATTAAAATAGTTGCAATAAACTGACGCCAGTGTTTAGATTTTCAGAATATTACATATTGTACCTACAGTACCACCCTACATATACTTATTTATTTTCATTTGGAATATGTTTGATGTGCGTTTTTATTCATGTACTTCATTCTTTCGTTATGTTCACAATTGACGATGACAATAAACATATCCCAAAGAAAGTATTAAAACTCTTGTTTTGTCTCCTTTCCTGTCAAAACACATTTCTTGCACTATTATGGTTACCTCTTCTGTTTCCGCTGCTTCTTCATCCACTTTCAAAGTGATTGACGAAAACTTTGATTGTGCCAATTGGAAGGCCATGTATCTTCGGCATCCCTTTAGCATTCTCATTGCAGGACCGAGCGGTTCAGTCAAATCGGAATTTCTCAAACGTTTGGTTGAACAAAAACATCAATGGATCGATTGTTCACCTCAACAAATCATGTGGTGCTACAAGGTATGACAATCGGCGCGCAGCCTTCTACGAGAAGGTAAAGGCTATTTCATCGTGTTTGTGGAAGGCACTTCTAACGAAGATGACGGGATCATGTTTGACTCTAGTCAAACCCATCTGGTCATCTTTGACATGCTAGGAGAAGAAGAAGAAATTAAACTTTGGTTTACGAGCAAAGGGTATCATCATCATATTGCCAGTGTCAGTTACATTACTTAATATTTTTTCAACAATGTAAAGCCCATCACACCATTAATTTTAATGATCATTACGTGGTCATATCTAATAGCGTAGAGTTAAATCGAAAATTCAACATGCGTATTTACTATTTTATTTAAAACTCAGTACCCCCGATTATTTGCAATATCGTACCCATCTGTTTCACCACTGGTTCCAAGACGAAGGGCCTGTCGTTTACACGTCCCCGTCGTCTACTTAACTGGCATCACAAAAACAAACAAACACATCTGTAATTATCTTGGGGCTCTGAGTGTCCGAGTGGTCTAAAGCGCTCTCCGTTACGGATCACTGCCATCTCACCTCTGTCTGGGTGGGTTCAAGTCTAAGATTCGGCGAATGTGGATATGTATGAAAGCTTGCCAGTAGCTTCTCGTCGATCGGTGGTTCTTTCTGGTGATTTCCCGGTTTCTTCCTCCACCATTAATACTGACCACCATTATATCGTGTGCTGAAAAATGGCGTTAAGCTCCATAACAACAACAACAACAACAACAACCTTGGTCACTTTAGGTCTGTCTCACACATCGTCAATATGACGTCCCTTCCCTCACGTCTTCCCGTCAAACTGATTTGTGTCTT